GGGGGGGGGGGGGGGGGGGGGGGGGGGGGGGGGGAAGAGGGAGGCATCGTTGTGAGTATAGGATAATGAGAGAATGAGAAAAACTTGGCTATGAGGATGATGATAGGGGAACCAAATATCTTGATGATTCTATTCAAGATTCTATTATAATAGATGGTATTGGAAACTTCCTGGTTTTTTCTACTTCTAACGGTGTATTACAATTTTATTTTGTGATTACTAATTCGAGAACTCATTGTTGCTACTTTATCGATCTACTTTTATGTTTCCTTACATTTATTATGTTGGCTTTTTTGGATGCTTATGCCTCGAGGCTGTACCTAGTCTTACTTAGGTAAAACCACTTAGTACCCATTTGAGCCTTATTAAACATCAAGGTGTTCATTTCAACTTTGTATTTCTGTATCACTTGCATTAGGTGTAATTGCTATGTCATGGTGCCCCATAGACAGCTCCTACTTGCTTACTTGTGCCAAGGATAACCGCACCATTTGCTGGGACACTGTGTCTGGAGAGGTAAGTTAGATTGCTAACTCTTTATTGAGCCCCCATTTGTATCTCATTACATTAAATTCCATTACATTCTATTTTTCTCTCTCCTATTTTTAACCACATAATTTTCTATAAAATAATATTACACGTAAATCGAAAATTTTTCCTTCTTTTTCAACCACTCATTTTTCAAAAAAACACTATTCCCCCCATTTTCATTTCCAAAAAATGGGGGCCAAACGTGGGCTGAAATACATGTGTTCTTCTTTTATATGAAGTGTCCTCCTTTTGTTTCTTTCTGGTGTTTATATTCAGCTTCCCTTCTCTATTGCATTTTCTATTTTCTAATTTTTCTATATTACTTAATAAACACGGGGAAATAGATGGAATGGAGTTGTCAGGGTTTTTGGAGTCATCATAGTTCAACAGGTAAAAATGTTTAACATAAAACTTTGTGCAGATTGTTGCTGAATTGCCTGCTGGAACCAACTGGAATTTTGATGTACACTGGTATTCTAAGATTCCAGGGGTCATATCAGCATCATCGTTTGATGGGAAAATTGGCATTTATAATATTGAGGTTAGTTTGATTATTAATGAACCTGTTTCAGTTGCCTTTTGAATTCCTAATGGAAGTGTTGTAGTGAGTGACATGTTAAATGACTGAAGTGTGGTAGCTAACTTCTTCGTTGATCTCTTTTTTCTTCCTTTTTAATTTTCTGTGGCTTTAACATTTAGCAGTTGAAGATAGCAACTTAAAAAATTACTATT